ACACCACTCTATATGAATTCCCCATCTTCCGCTTGAATTTGCTTCGACATCCCAATCTTCATTTTGCTTTTTTATCCAAATGGGCAACCAAAACCGGCGCACGAAAGTGCATGGTTAATGGTCAAAAAAACTGAAACTGGGGTTGCGAGAATAATGAGTAAATGCACTAGCTCCACTACTTGCGGCAGCTAGCCATATCACTCAGTGTCTCTGACTACTGGTTGTCATGATCTTGGGGCCCCCATCCAGGGAGCCAAGTCTCCTGGTTAGGGTTTTCATACCCTCATGCCCGGCCTTAGTTTGACCATCCTTGACCCTTTTCTCAGCGCTTCCAACCTCGGCACTCGTCGCGCGCCGTGGCAGCCTATTTGGTGACATGCGCAACGCATGGCCCAACCGGCGTATTTTATGGAAGTCGACCACTTACTCCAGTGAACAACCGCGATTAGCAAAGACTTTGCGCCTAAACTCAGCATTACCTGTCTGGTTACCCAACCAGATTCGTGCAGTGTTGCGTAGACATCGGTGTTCGAACACTGACAATCTATTTTTATCCTGTTCCCGTTATGGCCAAGTTTCTCCACCGCGTAACCACACTGACAGAACTGCTACAGCATACACTAGACCGTTCACAGACAGCCGGATGTTGCGACTCCGCCACGTATGTCTCAGTTTGGCAAATACCAACCGAGCCTTCTGTATAGGTGCCGAAACCTGATTTGTGACGCGGCCGCCAAGTAAGATATAGCTGCCCAAATAGCATAGTTTGTTTACTTTCTTTACTACTTCCCCATTCAAAGTGAGGTTGGGGGCTGAGCCAACCCAATCAGAATATTCTGATGATATTAGTGGATGTAGATCATCCGAATCCTCCAACGTTTGTCTCGCTCCAACGCCAAATTCAGCCATATCATACGAGAGGCCAGTTAAAGGCAGTTTATTTTTGCAAAAACAGACGTTGAACCATATTCATATACTCGGAAGATAGGTTATTCCCTTACCTTCCTTAACTTTGTTGTAAAACA